TTTTTTTTTTTTTTTTTTTTGTGAATTTTTTCTTCACAGGAGTACAAAAAAAAAAAAAAAAAGAGAAAATTTTTAAGTATAAATGATTCTAAAAATAATGATGTGGTCTTAAATTAGCTCCTATATATATCAAATAATTTATATAAACAAAAAAATATAAGGATAAATTAGTATTAAAAAAAAAATTTACAATTTTAAAAAATTTGTTAATAATAAAGTAATAAATAAATAATGTTTTAATATTTTAAAAAAAAAAATAAAAAAAAATGACAAAAAAGTTCATAATTTATTCGAAACAGGTAATTTATACACAACATGCATGCTGTAATTATTTAAATTTATACATATAATATAAATATAAATAAATATATATATATATATATATATATATATACGTAATTATGTGTATGTATTTATATATATACATAACTATAAATTAATAAAAAGGTTATTAAAAATGTACATATTGAGAATAAAATAGTAAAATTATTAAATATTTAGAGTTTTATTTCAGAAATTTATCAATAACTTCTTTTTTTTCTTTTTTTTTTAAATTATGTTAATTTTTTAAGAAAAAATTTTCAAAAAAAATTATATTTTGTGATTTTCCTTTTTTATTTCTTTAAAATTATATCCTGAAGTGTTATATGCATATGGAAAGTATAAATATTACTTTTTTTTTTCTTTCTGTATGCTTATACTTTATTTTTCTTTTTTCTATTCAAATATGTATCATAACAAGCTAACGTAAATAAAATCTTCTGATACTTATTTATATGATTTCATTTTTTAAGTATAAAGAAAAAAAAATATTCATTTTGATAATTAAAAATTTATTATTTGATGAACACCCGAAAAAAGATAAATTCAAATAAAAATTGTTCAAGTGAACAGATGCCTTAAAAATATATTGGAAGTTTTTAAATCATTAAACAGAAACAAGTATTTATGGTTGTGTTATTAAATTTTATTATGCTTTAAATAATTTTTTTTTTAACATAATGGTTTTATAATTTATATTTCATTTTTTCATGTTATTCAGTTAAAAAATCTTTTGATATTTTGAAGTTGTTTATTGCATTAAAAAAAAAATTTTTAATTTATGAATTTTTATATTTTTATATATTTTTTGAAATAAGTATTTAGCCACATATATTTATATTATTAAAAATTTTTTATATAAGATTTTGTATTGCAATATTTGCATAAATCTCATGTATTTTTTGTAAAGTCTTCTGAAATATTTATAATAATTATAATTTTATTTTTTTACATACTGCTGTATTAAATGCATAATAATAGCTTTTTGAAATTAATTTTTTTTTTTTTTTTTTTTTTTTTTTTCCTTAATTTATACTATGAAAAAGAAATAAATACTTAATATAAAATGTTAACTCAAAAGAGGAACTATAAATTAAGTGAAATGAAGTACTTTACAATAGTTGTAAACAGAAACGTTGTTATTATGTAAACAAATGTATAATGGAAAAAAAAAAAAAGAGAAAATAAAATTATATTTTATATATATAATTTTTTTTAATTAAATAATGAATCATTAAAAGGAAATCTTTAATGTTACAATATTTATAATTGTTAAATTTATATGATTTCTGTATTATATTAATGTATTATTTTATTTCAAGATTTCATAAAAAAAAAAAAAAAAAATTTACTTATAAACATCAGTCCTACTATTAATATTTTAATGTATTTTTTTTAATAAAGAAGTTAATTTTTTTTTTTTTTTTTTTATATATATTCTTTATTTTATATGTACTTTATTTTAGAAAATTTAATTATTCCATCATAATATTCATTATTTACAAAAAATATTTTTTTTGGGATAAATACATATTTTATCTTAAAGCATCTTTAAAAAATTATCTTAATTTTTTAATTTTTATTTAGTTAATGCATAATTAATTGAAAAGAAAAAAAAAATATATATTTATTAAGCTAGTAATTATCACATGAAAAAATGAAAACTAAAAAAAAAATTGATGTTAGGAGGACAAGAAAATCAGCATGCAAAACTATTAGTGAAAAAGATAAAAAATTTAGAGATAAAGTAGATGAAATATCTCATAATATAAGAAAAGGTAAAAAAAAAAAAAAAAAAAAA